TTTGAATACACGTTTTATCCACTAACATAAACCCTAGGTTAGATTTAGGTTAGAAGCCAGTGAACTCACCATGGATGCCAGTTTGTCACAGATATAGCAGAAACACTGATCACAGTGCTTTGCATTATCTTGTAGAGGTCCTGAAACGTCCTGCTCTGCTCGACTAGAACAAGCAAGCACACAAAGGCACGTAAACACTCACAGACACAACACAAGTCCTTTACACAAGAGTAGCCTCACTGCTTTACTGACCAGAATGCCAGGGTGCAGTCATATCTTGCGTGTGGAAGCACTGTTGCAGTTTGGGAGTATGTGATGGCCAAGTCTTCATCCAACTCTTCAATATGTTTAGATACATCTGAGATCAACAAAGAGAAACAGACATATGACAGTGCTACTGAAGGATTACTATATTCATATGCCATAGTATTTATGGTACAGCATGGTACTGTGATGAACTTTAAAGAGGTAGCCTACTACCATGGTATAAGAAAAAAAAATGTATTACCATAGTCACAGTCACAGTCTCACACACACACATGTCTGGTCGGCTATCCTTGTGGGGACTCTCCATAGGCGTAATGGCTTTTATACTGTACAGACCGTATAATCTATTGCCCTACACCAACCCTACCCCTAAACCTACCCCTCACAGGAGACTTTCTGCATTTTTACTTTCTCAAAAAAACTAATTCTGTATGATTTATAAGCTTTTGTACCCGTGGGGACCACAATTTAGGTCCCCACCGTGACACGAGTCCCCATGAGTCTGTGTAGTCAGGTTTAAGTCCCAACCAGGATATATAAACCAGCACACACACACACACACACACACACACACACACACACACACACACACACACACACACACACACACTTCTTTTATGGTAACGTACATCTTAATGTGCACCATTGTAACATTTAGTTTTGTTGGTGTCATGTTTAATACACAACGCAGATTACCTGCTTCGTTCCTCTCAATTTCAACGATCAGCACAGAGGAATCGTTGTGGGTCCTCAAAAAGTCACCTTCATCATCATCTTCATCGCTCAAAATGATTATAGGTATGTTGTGCTCCGTCCTACAAAACATGACAGACAATGAGAAGAAACAACCTCTAATACCAAAATAACTCGGCAGGCATTGTGAACGTTTCGTATGAAAACCTTTCAAATGTATTTGGTTCGATTTATTTTGTTACTCAGTCAGAAAACTTACATGTTTTACCGAGTGAACAGTCGGTGAACGCGCGCGTTCAAAGTTTGGCGCTTCAGCTGGATCACGTGACTCTGACCGTCTGACGAAATCAGAAACGTTGTTAGCGTCAATGATTTCCACCCAAAAGCTCTCCGAAACCCGCGCACTCCAAGAAGAAATCCACCCAAAACGTTCACTGCCAAAAGATTGTGATAGTATTAAATTGCCATATCAAATAACATACATGACAACGAAATAGTGGCAAAATAAAATTATAAAAATGAATCAACTTCCCAGACAGGAGAACAATACAACAGGAAAACGGAATAAAAGTGAAAATATACTGTAATGAAAAGTGTCGATTGCGGCATTGAATTTATACCTGCTCAATTTGCCACATTTTTCTTTATACTCGTTTTTACGGCCTTGAGCATTACAACCAATCACACACGAATGTGTTGAGCTTATGAACGCAATGGCCAATCAGAGGCGTTTAGATTAGTCATCGCTGAAACCAGTTTTGTTCAGAGCGCTCGCTCGGCTCGCAGACTGAATCTTGCACTCTCGCAAATTCTAGACAGCTTCATTATAACAGGACTTATTTAAAGTGGTCTTAAACTCGCGCTAGAAGTCAGTGATAATGTTCCTTGATCATGTAAATGTTCTTTGCTAGCTTGCTGTATACAATATATTCGTACTTTGAACAACCTTGGACATAAAAGCGTTATAACTAATAACTTATAATATTTTTTATTAAATTGTGATCACGTTTAATACAAATTCAGTCATATTCAAAATATTTTATGACATGACACCCATCTGGTTTATGGATATTAAAGGGGTCATATGATGCGATTTCAATTTTTTCTTTCTCTTTGGAGTGTTACAAGCTCTTGGTGCATAAAGAAGATCTGTAAAGTTGCAAACACTAAAGTCTCAAATCCTAAGAGATATTCTTTATAAAAGTTAAGAGTCAGCCACGCCTACCTAAAACGCCTCTTTCTAACACGCCCCCACATACCTACTTCGCTCTGTGGGATGATTTGCATAACACCGCCCAAATGTTCACGCAAAGAAAGAAGGCGTAACTTTTATTCTCGCTGTAGTTTTGTTGTTTCCGCCGCCATGTCGTAAAGACGCTGTGTGTTTCGTTGTGAAAGCGAAACTACTTTGTTTGGTCTTCCAAAAGAGGGCGATATCCGCTTCGTCATGCCTGGAGCTGATCCGTGCTGGTCGCTGAGGAAATACATCAACTTCACGCTGTGGATCACCTTCCGGACGCTCCTTCGTCGAAATTGCCGGGCGCACCGTTCTCAAGCCCACAACACATTTCATTACACCAAATACACAAAATAATGTTCTTTTTAGCAGCATCATATGTCCCCTTTAAGACTTGTTTACGATGTGCGTATAGTTTACGCTTTCCTCCTGGAGTTCGTTCACCCTCCGCCTAAAGGGAAATCTGAGGCTGTCAAATATTTGTTAACAGCACAGACCCAGACAGACAGTCTTCATCGGAAACACAACATGCATAGTTTTCCGTTTCAACAGCAAAAACAAACCAATTCAAGTGCAGATAAAATTGCCCAGTATACGTGATCAGGATAGGCAACTTTAGTGCAACCAGCAAACTTTTTGGGTTGACAACATAACAGAAAATATATGTCTTTCGTGATAAAAATGCATTTACCTTCGTGTTGCGCTATAAGGTCAAGACAACAAAGCCGAGATGGCTGCAGAATATTATACAATCTCAGCTGCAGCTCTCTGTTTTATACAGTTCATAATGACCTCATTCACAGGTGTCTCCTCCTTTCCTCCTTTTTTGGCTCATCCTCAAACTCTTGAATAATATAACTATTATTATTATTTATTCATTTATTTATTTTTATTATGAATATATTTATAATATTATACTTCTTAAGGTGTCTTAAAATAGTTGTAGAAAATCTCTCTTTAAAAAAAAGAACTCTGAAGTGTTATGGAAATTTCTATATTTTTCTTTATTCTCTATTTTCCATATGTTCCATTTGCACAGGAACAGAGGAATGGCTACGACTTGTTAGAACTAATCTGAGAAGATGAAGATCAAAGTCGATCATTGGACAGCCTTTATCAATATAAAAAAACACTGTACTGAATAGCCTTCTGTCTTTCTCACTACAGAGCTTCTGTGTGTTGGACTGACCATTCTTGAAGAATTTAAAGACCAAATATAAACCTTTTGACTGGTTTTTCACTCTCTTTAACACATTTAGAATTGTTTTCATGACACAAGTCACTGGACATGTACCAGACATGTAGCTATTGCATGAAGATATAACACTTACTTTTACTCCTTAATCCTATAAAAGTTATTGTAGAAAATCTTCTCTCTTTGTTCAAAAAATCTCTTGAGTCAAGAAGTTCCAGATGCCAAAATCAGACTTTATTGTTAGAGACAACATCTGACTATCACACTTGCATCTCACACTTATATACAGTCAAAAATTAATCATGCTTTAACAAAATATGCTTTAAGGAGTATACTTGTATAATAGCTTCAGGCAGTTAGAGAGACTGCATGTATAAAACCGAAATAACTGTGCTGGGAATATTGGGGAAATTCCAAACATGAGCTGTATAAAAGTGTGAGATGCAAGTGTAGTCAGATGTTGTGCATCGTGGATTAGTTGTCTCGTCCAATAAAGTCTGATTTTGGCATCGGGAACTTCTTGACTAGAGCCCTTTTTTTCAGTCAGCTTCCACTCTAAGTTACACAGTTCATAACCAATTATCTCAGTTACAGATATTCTTTTTGGCTCATCTTCGAACACTTGCTACAGTTATTTCACTTGCTGCTTTGTAAGGATGGCGGACTGCCAACTAGTCTATTTTTTAAAAACATGTCAAAACATCACATTAATCATTTTTAATTGTACCACAAAGGGATTAAGTGCTAGCTTGTGCTCTCACTGTTTCCACAGAACTGCTTAAGTGAAACATGCAGGGTCACAGTGTAGAGAAAAATCTTCTGTCTTGTGAATGAAGTTCAAGAGGCAGAGACTTTATTGAGCAAAGCATTAAAGTCATGATGACAGACGCTTCTTCTGATCTGTCTCTGATGGTCAGGTCTCAGTTAAATTTTTTTTTACATGGTCATGCAATTTCTTATAAGTTTCACCACACCTATTGGCCACAGTTAAATAACACTTGCACATGTTTTTATCCTAATTGTGGAATCCCGCCAGGTGGTCTATTTTTTAACCTCAACCTTTAATTCAGTCTTTTCTGGGGACCAAACATCCCCAGGGGACATACTGTACATGTTACACATTCTGATGGAAGTTTAATAAATAAACAAACTGCTTTGTTGTAATCATTTGCTGTTTAATGGAAATCACCTGTGATTACAGATACTGTTAAGACAGAAATTACCTAGAATTGCAGTCTGTTTAGTGGCCACAGACACATTTGGTTTTGAAGTAATTACTTACAGTCTTATATCATTCTTTCTAATAACTTCTTCTACAACTGCTTATTGTAATTCAGATAAAATAGTACAATAAAATAAAATAGTAGACCTGATGTCTAATGTTTCCTTTCTTTCTTTCAAAGTTAGGAGGCAAATATCCTACAAATTCACAAATTTAGGTAGTATCCGAAATAAAGGTTTGTGTCATTGTATCAACTACTGATTTTGGAATTTTACTTTTTAAGAATGATACAACACAAAAATAAATACAAACATTTATATATATATATATATATATATATATATAAAAAACAATTGTTGCAAGACATATACAAAATATGCCTCAGAAATTCACAGTTAAGCTTAAGAAACTGTCACACAAATTTACTAGTACAACATACAGGAATTTAATTTATTCAGAAATTGTATTTTGTGAGGTGACTCCATCTTGTTCCGTTTCTGGTTTTGGGGATCGATATTTTTCCCAGGGGTGTGGTGTTTCCTGGCCAGGCATGAACTCCAGCCATTGTTTGTAAAAACCACGGAAGCCGTCAATCTTGTCCAGGTATGTGTTTTGTGATTTTAACTGAAGAAAGAAAGATAAAAGGCATAATTAATCCATGGTAGTCCATTACAATCCTGCTCATAGCGCAATAACATGAAAAACATTCACAAAGTACATGCATTTGATTTTACTGAACCTAGATGTGCTTTTAAATTAAGTGAATAAATAATAATTATAAAATAATAATACTTAATTTTTTTTTTATAATTATACTCCTTATAATTTAATAAAAATTTCTTATTTTCTTAATTCATTATATTTCACTTTTCTTACGTTATTTCTATTTATACTTACTGCACAGCCGAAGTACCTGATCAGGTTTATATTTCACTTTGTATTCTGTATATAACTGTGTATGTGACAAATACAAATCTTAAATCTTACATCTTGCTTGATATGAGATTGTCTCATATTTTCAGTTTCTAACCTTGTCATAGGACGGAGGATACTGAGCTGCAAACTCCAGCTGTCTGATGATGACATCATTGGGCGGCACTTGCAGTTCGTGCATGTGTTGAAGAAGTTCATGCAGATAAGCATAGTCCAAACGCTTAGCTGCCTGGCTGATCAGGGCACTGTAAATGTGAGTGTTTGGCACAAGTCCACAAGACTGGAAAAAAAGAATGAATTGATGTAAAAAAGAAAAGAAAAGAAAAGCACCTTCAAATATTTAGAAGAAAGTTGGAAATAGTTGATCACTGTAATAAGAGGAAACCTTAAGTATATTAATAGTGAAAATTAATAATAAAAGGATGATATTTGATTTCATACCTCCATTTCAGTGAGCAACTGCATTGCATCTTTTTGTCTACGGCAAGCCAGAGCAATACTACAGAACGTCTGTTCATTTGCAACCAGCCCTTTGTTAACCATAAGGGCTTTTACAGCCTAAAAAGAAAGAAATCAGTTATTATAATTTTTTTTACATATTTACGTTTATGCATTTGGCAGGCTCTTTTGTAATTGTATTCATTTATTATTTATATTTATGCATTTGGCAGATGCTTTCACCACTTAACTTATATTTCATTCAAGCTATTGGGAGTACAAATTTAAGAATCTGTTTAACATCCGCTGATCCCATGTCCTATGTTAACTGAGACAATCATTTTTTCTTCATGATGGCGCCTCTGCTCATTTGCCCATTCTTTGTTGTCATTGTTAGTGATCGCCAATACTTAAAATGATTTTTCTTTATCAGTATGATAATGAAATTGTAGTGTGGGGTGTTATGCTCATTGAATTAGGCCTGATGAAACTCCAGAGAGATTCTCTGGGAATCAAACTGAAACTTTATGAACAGATGATTAAATGCATTTCTAACCTTAGCCCCATTCAAGTCTCCAGCTTTGGCCACCTTTCTGATCATAATGTTAAAGAATGTCTCATCCAGCGTGACAGCACTCTTTTTGGCCACATTAATCAAACTCTGCACTGATTGGCTGCCGGGTTCCATGACATCAGCCAATAGTGTGATGGTTTTGATGTTGGGTTCCAGTCCATCTTTGGCCATTTTCTCCAAAAAACCTTCAAGGTTTCCAATCAGAGCAAGTCTATTCGAAGCACTGTTCACAGGTCCCAAGGCAACCACACCTGAGTGGCAAGTGCTGGGGTCCAGAAGGTTTGGGAGGCGGGAACTTTGTGATTGACATGTCAGAGAGCCACTTGATGATACAGGCAGCATTTGAGTCTCATTTTGAGATGCGTCTGTTTTGCACTGATCTTTTTCCTTTGGATGGCAGAAATCAGTCTCTTTGGCTTGTCCATGGCTCTGTGTGTGCATGTCTACAAACAGCTCACTCTCAAATGCATCCATATCTAAGGGCTGACACGACATCTCCTCTTTGATTTTTGTCCTACGGCTTTTCCTTCCACTTGTGAGTTTTGGGGTCACTTCCTCTGTTCTCCTCAGTAGTAGTGCAGAAGCCAAACCAGGATCACCTATCCCACAATCCCGTGCTACCCGCAGGAGTATGTTGTAATTCTGAGTGTCTGGTTTTATTCCAATCCTAAACATCTGGTGCCACACCTACAGAATAAATGACAGTTCACCCAAAAATGAAAATTTGTCATCATTCCCTCACCCTCATGTCATTCCACACATATAAAAACCATAATGTTAATCTTCTAAACAAAATTAAGATATTTTCTTGATGAAAGCGTAGAGGTTCCTGTCCCTCCATTGAAAGTCCAGGTAACCCAAATTTAAAGGAGACATATTATGCAATATGTAATATAAGTGTCTGGTGTCCCCAGAATGTGTCTGTGAAGTTTCAGCTCAAAATACTCCACAGATCATATATTATATCGTTTTAAAAATGCCTATTTTGAGTGGAAGCAGAAACACACTGTTTTTCAGGCCCGTCTCTTTAAATGCAAATGAGCTCCTGCTCCCCGCCCCCTTTTCCAGAAGAGAGCTGCGCCATTACAGCGCGGACCTACTAAAAAAACATCTGTTTTGGTCCTGATTATCATGTTTATCACACTGAAATCATGCGTTTTAAACCATGAGTTTAAACTTCTGATATACGGTTTTCTGAGTGCACACATCCGAAGCACACGGACAGAAAGCGGCTGTCACTCACAGCATGTGAGTACTAAACTAAGTTCTCATTCCCACACAAGTTTACATTTAAAACACACACGAGTTACAAAAACAGTCGGTTATGTCTGTGAAGGTAAACAGCTGGGAAATAAATTGCATGTTTATTTTAGATCTGTGTGGCAGCAGCAGCCTAAATAAATCTATAAATCCACTGCTCTCTTGTCTCCTCTGAGGCTGGGACTCTAAATAGTGTTCTGTGCTCGTCTGTGCAGCCAAAGACAGAACAGTTAGCATGTTTTGCTCAAACTTTCACCATGGCATTAGAGCTGGTACACCGTTGTTCGCTTGCGAAATCAAAATGACAGCGCCGTGGGTGGAAACTTACAGATTAAGGGGCGGTAATATTATAATGAGATCCCTTTGCAACGTCACTAGGAGAGCGAGATCAGACGTGCTCGTTTTTTCAGACGCTTGCAGAAAAAGGCTTCCCAAAACAAAGTTACTGGGTTAATCTTTTTCACGTTTCCTTGGTTGGTAGATGCACCGGGGACCTGATTATAGCACTTAAAACCTGGAAAAGTCAGATTTTCATGATATGTCACCTTTAAAAGATTCAAAAAAGTCATAAAGGCATCATTACATTAATTCATATGAACCAAGTGATTTAAACCAAGTCTCGAGAAGTCTTGAGGACAGATTTACATTTGTTAAACACGGAAGCTCAAACATGCATGCAGATTTTTCATTTTTGGGTTAACAATCCCTTTAAGAACTTAAAAACTGTGCTAATAGGTAAGTAAGTAAGATGGTACGTGTGAGTAATATGGATAGAAATTTTGGCAACTGAAAATATTTTGGCTGAAAATGAAATAGTGTCTATTACGATAATAACATTTCACGAAATACACACTAACACCAGAGCTCAGTTCCCTGCTCTGAACCCTATAGAAAATGAGTGGAGTGAACCAAAGAGAAGAAGCACCAACATGGAGCTGGGAATCTGAAGGATCTGGAGAGATGCTGGATGAAGGAATGGTCTCTGATCTCTTGTCAGGTGTTCTCCAAACTCATCAGGCATTATAGGAGAAAACTCAGAACTGTTATCTTGGGAAAAGGACGTTGCAATAATTGGGTGCCAATAACTATGGCTAACGTGAACTAGAGAAAAACATTTATTTCATAAAGTGAGTTTCCCCTACTTTCCATTGTTTTACTTCAATAAAAGGTTAGAATTTTTTTTATTTTTTGAATGAAAGATCAAAAGGATAAACAATGCAGATTTATTTTCACAGCTAGCTTTGCTCATATTTACCAAGGGTGCCAATGTTAGTGGAGAGCACTGTACATGCTTTGCAAGAAAAATCCCACTCTTCCAAAATGAAACTGTTTCTATAAGCGTTATCGTGTTATTGTGAGGCTGGCTTGCAGTTTAATAAAATTATTAAAATAAAACGGCATATATCGGCAAATTTGAAGATTAAACAAATAAGTTCACTATGTTGCTGCAAAATTCTTTGATAATGGCACAAAACAGTCCATATAGTGACCAAGATTATTCCGGTAAACAAATTTGTATTCCCACAATGTTTCTGTTTCAATATTAGACCCTTTTTATTATCTTAAGTGAGATATTAGTGAAAAGATGGGTTACTTGCAATAAAAATAAAACTCATCACGATCAAGGCACATTTAAATCTTTGTTCTGTATTTTCATTCTTTATGATCTCATAAATTCCCTAAATTGAATTCCTCAAATTTAAAATTAATTCACAAAATTACTCTATCTTTCTCTTCACATGCACAGTATTTAAAAAGAACAGCTGTCTGATTTTCTTTTAAACTTTTAAAACATAATACTCCTCACACAAATAATATACAAGAATAAGAAAAATAATTACAAGTATTTAATTGAATTTAATCTGATTTTGGACACTTAATACATTTGCAGTTGAATGAAATATACTGCCGTTTAAATTTATATTAAATGCAATTATTTGAATGTAAGAATGCTTTTCTGAAGTATGTATTTATACTCTGATATATTAATTAATATAAACAATAAATTAAAGGCCTATAACTTATCAATTTAAATATATGTTAAACATAATTTCTACTGATATATGTTTTGATGAAGCTAAAATTTAATCATAAACAAAGTTTTGCTCACTCAGTGTATTTTTGATTTTACAGCTGGATAATTTGCTTGCAGTAACACGAGATAGCTTGATTTAAAACTTTGAATTGAATAAAAAATGACAAGGAGATTAAGCAGTTAATT